AAAGAAAAAATAAAAGGCAAGTTTTTTTCGAGTACCGATGAAACCGTGGCTGCCTACGAAGAAGCGATTTCTTACCTGTCAGATCGAGACTGGCAAAAGGTATTTTCAGAGTTGGTTTAGGCGAATGGAACTTTGTATAGAGCATTATAGAGAATATTTTGAAAAGATATAAAATAAATATTAATAGTATCTAGAATACTTTTTCTATATCTTAAAACTTATTAAGTTGGAAGTAGTAAGTGCCATAAAGGACCTCAGGCAATCTAGTGCAACTGGCTGGGACGACATACCTTGTAGGGTACTGAAAGACAGTTGTCATGTTCTGGCAGAACCTATGATGCATTTGCGTAACCTGAGCTTTAATACAGGTACCTTCCCTAATATATTCAAAAGAACAATAGTTACACCGTTATACAAATCAGGTGACAAAAGACTTCCCACCAACTATAGGCCCATTTCATTGTTGACTTCCTTATCTAAGGTTATGGAAAAAATTGTAAACAAGACTTGTAAGATATCTAGAACAACATAAATTTATATCCAATAACCAATTTGGATTTCGATGCGGACGATCTACGGATGATGCTGTTCAAAATCTTACATCACAAATAGTCAATCATCTGAATGCGGGTGATAAATGCCTTGGCGTATTTTTGGATCTTCAAAAAGCATTCGATACAGTGTCTATTCCCATCCTACTGGCACGTATGGAAGGCTTTGGTATAAGAGGTACCCCGCTAATGTGGTTTAAAGACTATCTGAGTGAAAGAAAAGAAAACGTACAACTTTATAACTTACTAAGTGACAGCGCATACTGTACATATGGTATTCCACAAGGAAGTACACTGGGCCCCACGATGTTTGTGATCTACATTAATGACCTGTGTAATACAGTAGTAAATGGTGCAACAATTCAGATGTTTGCAGACGATACTGTACTTCTATTTCGGGAACGAACCTGGAACTCAGTATACAAGTTAGCTGAAGAAGGTTTAAAAACCGTTACTGCATGGCTGGAAGACAACCTACTATCATTAAATACGTCTAAAACAAAGTTCTTAAGCTTTAGCATTACAAATGCTTGCAAGCCGAGTGTAAATTCAAAATTAGTAATACATAAATTTCCTTGTAACAGGTTTCCAACCACCACACCTGAATGTAACTGTCCGCACTTATTGCGTAGTGACAATGTAAAATACTTGGGCGTAATTATTGATGACAAGTTAAATTGGTTAGCACATATCGCTGCTGTTAGTAATAAATTAAGGAAGCTCATATATGTGTTTAAAAACTTAAGAGATGTTTTAGATAATGAGGCTATAATGAAAGTATATAAAGCCCTTGCAGAATGTGTTATGACTTACTGCATTAGTTCTTGGGGTGGGGCAGCTAAAACACACCTTATCGAACTCGAACGTGCACAACGTGCTTTATTGAAAGTTATTAAAGGCCTACCTTTTAGGCACCCGACTGAGGACTTATACAAAATATGTGGCGTACTTACCATACGAAAGTTATATATCTTCCATTCTATTCGTAAATATCACAAAAGTACTGCTTCTCAAATACAAATAAGTGATAAGAGGACGGTCCGCTATCCCTTGCCTGCCTACAAGAGCAACTTCGCTTAGAAGACACTTTAACTATTCTGCTACATTACTGTACAACAAATTAAATACAATTTTTAAAACCGCTCATCTAAGTAATCATAATATTAAGTCAATTTTACTAAAGTGGTTAAGTAATTTTGACTATGACGCTACTGAGAATCTTATCGTTTCCACTAAATAATTCTTATACAATATTACGACGTTTACATGCACGCGCACGCACGCACGCACGCGCACGCGCACGCACACGCGCACGCGCACGCACACGCACACGCACACGCACACGCACACACGCCCGCACACACGCACACACACACACACACACCCCACACACACACACACACACACACACACACACACTTTTTATTTACCTTATTATTATTGTTTTTTTTTCTCTCTCTTTATACTTTGTTAAGCTACATATTATATGTTATTTTTGATGTCATTCTAATTAATTTTTTATACCGTTTGCTATAATAGTTTGTCACATTACAACTATATGTCACTGAAACGGGGAAGATGCTGTAGCCTGTAACACAGTTTTCAACTACCACGGGCTACAGAGCTTATATATTATATGATTTGTTTGTAAAAGTTATGTGAGAAGCAATAAATTATTATTATTATTATATTATTATCCTACGTATTGAGCTCCGGTTTCCAACCAATGTAATATTAACTTATTTGACAGGGCGTGGTTCCTGTCTGTATTTCTTTCTAAATGGCTACCCAAGAATACCCTTAGAATTTTTCCAATTTTGTTCCAATTTTTCAGATTTAATTCGAATCTTTTCATTAAATTCATAGGTCTCCATGTGACCGTAGTCAATTCTTGTTCTATATGTTCTTGGTTCCATTATTCTAATATGTTCATCAACGCTTGAGTCACTTGACTACATTTTAAAAAGGACAATCAAAATTAAATAATATTACAGTACTACTTATGACACTTGTAAGACAGAATAGAGAGCCGCCGGACACTCTTTGTATTTGCCATGATTTTCTACAAATGGTAACATACAAGGGATTTTTGATGATCAAAATCACGAATACGAGTGTAAAGATATAATTGTGAAATAAATAATGACCCTCGTAACTTTTAATTTACAAGTGTAGTTTTGATGAACACATATTTGTAATAATTAAATATTTTACAGGAAAAGCTTGTGATACAAGGCTTGCAAATTTTGATAAACAGGGCACAGGGCACTGGTCTAGGGTGAAATATCCATTCACTATAGTCAAACAAATCTAAGAAATACCTTTTGACGTTTCACATTAATCATTCCGCAATAACTTTGCACAAGCATACTCACAGGATTTAAAATAGCCTTTTACGTTAATCCGCAGAATTAGGAAGTTATCTATATTTCATTACAACGTGTATAGTTTGTCATCACTAATTTAAATTCGAATCTTTCAAACAAAGCAAAATATTTAAAAAAACAACCAGTATCAACTTTTTAACTTGACGTCGTTTAAATGATATGTCGCTATGTACCTTACCGTAGTGTTTAGATTAAAATTCATTTTTATGCGAATAATAGACAAAAATATTCAAATAATCAGTAAAACTATTCAAATAATGAATCATTATTTTTTTTGTTTAATTAAAATTTTATTTTTAAAATTCCTTAAATTACATACATGAACCATGAATATATCCAGTTTTTTTTTTTAATTTGTCAACGTAAATTAGTGTAGGCAAAGAACTCATATACAAGGCCACGCAAAAATAAATACTACATAATTTCTATCTCCCGTCATTTCGGACACCGTGCGTAATTTTGTGATTGTCTTCTTATTTTGTGACTCGGCTTTAAGTTTTTGGTCTGTTTCTTCTACATTCATCTGCCCATGTCACAAAGGATAATTGGGCAAAAGTGATAGAAAAAAAAATATTTAAATATAGATGACTTTAAAAGAGACATTAATTTTGACTGCATTATTGAAAATGAAATAATAATTAATCTAAACAACAACAGAAAGTGATTGAATAAATTTATTTTTAGTCTAGTTTCTTTCATCTTAAATTTTTATAACTTCGCCCCTAGAAAAAAGCAGTAACAATAGATACAAAGAAACTGATAAATCTTGTGCTTTAAATTATCCGTTTTTAATTTATTTTGGTATTATTCAAACCAAACTGTAAATGATTACCAAATCTATATAATCTATATCGATTTTTTTAAGAATCGAATATTGTACATTCCCAATTTTTGGTTGGCATGCTTGACGCAATAAGTCTGACAGCTGTCAAAATGTACCTATTTCTTAGATTTGGTCTTTGGTTGGCGGCTATAGATTGATTCAGTACTATATATCGATATGACATTGACAGATGTAACGTCAAAAATGTGAAAGTATTTCGACGCTTCACAGCCAAAAAGGGATAACCGCCAATTTTTGCGAAATCGACTTATAAAAAAAAAATATATATATATATATAGTTAAAATCGTTTTTTTTCTGCGTCTTTTGGTCTTAGTCTCGTAGTTCTATGACATACTTTTTTGTCGGTTAGGCAGTATATAAAATGAGCTCCTCAGCCTTATTTCTTTGTCGTAAACGACACAAATTTTGAAGAATTTTAACAGTTTTAATTTTAACGGTTAGCTGAAAAATGGAATTTCGAAACAGAGACTTATGTTATTAAGGTTTTTTTAAACATTTTCATGTTTGGACGTTAACTGATTTGGGCTAGAAGTAATTTATGTATAAAGATATGTTTATTACATTTAGCTTGAACTTTTTTTTGTCTAAAACTCCATTTACGACATTATGTCAGTTTGTTTGAAAAATATTATTGTGTAATACATAAAGACGCGAAGAAGGAACACCACACTTCTTTAGCATTAACTTTTACTTTGATTGGATACTGGTACTTTGAATGAATCGAACAAGGAAAATGATTCCGATGGGTTGTTTTAATAAGCAAAACGCGAGTTTAGGCTAGAAGCAGAAGTATTTTCGTATTTATAAAAAAATCGAAGTATGAGAATGTGCTTAAGACTATTAATAATTTGTATTGTGAATTAATGTAAACACTAATAAACATTGTATGTTAACTATCTTTGTTTTATTAGCCTTTTCTATCTCTGAGGTTTTCATTGTTATTTATTTGTAATATTGTTGGCCACACGGGATTTTCTATTGCAAATTCCGGGAAGATCCATATTAATATCAACATTTCGAAGCAAGTACATAAATAACTCTACCTAATTCCGACCTCTGTTTATAATGCATATAGGAAAGAAACACTTGCGTTTATTCTTTCCATCTGAATAAATTTTAAGTGTCTTCAATTTTTTTACTGTAGTAGCACCACATAACATCACAAAATTTATAATTAATTATAATATTTTAGCTTATTTATAAAACAAACAAATCACTTACTGTGGATAGCCTTCCCATTTAAGTAAATACTCATACTGCTTTCGACGCGGGTTGAAACGCTTTGCAAGTATTTTCTCTACAACATATTCTCCAGCTTCAACAGTGTCGGCACCCTCGCGTTCAGAGCGCCGTGCTATCCGCTCCTCAGGCGGAACTCGTTCTTGTGCATTTCGCACAGACTCTTTGTCTGTTAACTCCTAAAATAATAAAAATAAATAATTGATGACTATTAATACATATTTCACCAAAAGAATTTCAGTGCTTATCTCATTGAATTACTATTTGCATGAACATTTTTAACATTATTAGTAGTATAAAAAATTTACAATAAATATACTGCCTACAGCTGGACAATAACTCATCTAATTTCTAAGTTATGGAGCATTTAGTCTGTCACACAGTTCAATGCATGTGTTGGCGGGTTGACCATGTCCTCAAAGTATTTTATTCAAACATGCAGGTTTACTCATGATATTTTCCTACTCTTTATTTTTATAGAATAAGGGTGATAAACGAGCACACAGTCTACCTGAATGTAAGTGGATGCTGTGGCCCATGACATCCACATTTATCCTTGATTAAGAATCAAAACGCAGATGCATTGTCACCCCTGAAGACTAAGATGGGATGCTTCGTTTCCAGTAAAAAAGGGTCTCTGGATCTCTACACTTACCATACGAAGCACACAGTGTTAAGCTGCTATTTTACGCTGCTATTCTATGAGAGCGTAGTCCTTCCCCCGGTCGCGCCAACCCATTCATGCTACAACCATAATATAGCTGCACCATGGCTCTACCATGTACAAAGACTGTAGATCATGTGATAAATCAGCACTTACAATTGTAGTTTTCACATTGATGGATATAGATGGTCCAACCCAGTTTGATGCATACATTAAAATTTACAGAAAGTTGGGTTAGCTTCCGAGCTTCACTTTTCAGGTAGCAATGAAATCAAAGAATGAGAGAAGACTCCATAAAGACATTGTTTGTCCTCCTCTCCCATGGCACTTTATATCCAATATGTAAAGTAAAGTTACAGCCTATATACGTCCCACTGCTGGGCACAGGCCTCCTCTCATTTCTGAGAGGGTATTAGGACAAGGGAGTGCCCATCGCCCAGCCCCAACGCGTGTTGGCGAACTTCACATGAACTTCGAATTTTTTTTTCTTATTTCTCAGACATGCAGGTTTCCTCACGATGTTTTCTTTCACCGCCGATCATGTGGTAAATCAGCACTTGGATCGAACCCGGTTTGCTCGCGTACTGTGAAATTTACAGCGAGCGCTAATGATCTGAGCTACCACGACTCTTTTCCCAATTTAATATGGTGTGCATATAATTCAGGAAATATTTACCTTTGCCTTTGGAGTTTGGAATGTCACTGCTTTAGGCAAAACTTTCTGTGCTGGACTAGCCTTTACATCGTCACTTTCTTCACCAGATGGTTGTGTTTCAGAATCTTCCTGCATATAAATGGAAGAGTATGAATATAACATAATTAAAACAAAATTTATTGACTTAAGGTTTAAAAGTAACACAATCTTGGTGTGGTTAACATTTTTAAATTGACATACCACTTTTGAAAGTTGTGGAAGTTTTCTAGGCCTTCCTCTTTTTTTCATTTCAGCAGTTGGAGTCTGAACAGGAACAAGCTGATCTTCAGTTTTAACTTCCATCTTAAAAAAGAAAAGTAACACAAAAAGTAATTTTTGCTTTAGATCTGTAATTCAAGGAATATTTTTTATAAAAGATCTTTTTATAATTTTAAAATTTATAACCCATTATCAGATAATTTAAGTATTTAAAAATGACCAATTGTATATGTAGGTATTTAAAAATGAAAAAGAGCTATAATAAACAATTGGATTTCTTGATCACAATGCCAGGCACATTGCAGACGTCGGTTGGACAATACTATGTCCAATGACAAACATATAGTTGTTACTTTGGGATTATAATAAATATAAATATTAAAAATATTGCCAAAGTAAATATAAACAAATACAGACTTAACAAATCACTAAAAAATGAACATTTATAACATATTAGGAACTATTACTAAGTATACAAGTATAATGTGAGGCAATGGAAACAGCTTCAGTATTCGCTGATTTCACTTTTCAGCCAGTCTCTATCGTTTTGGGTATATTTTGGTTGCATGCACGTAGTAATTATATATTAGTGGTAACCCTCATTACAGTTTGTGTTAAATAAAAAGATGTTAAACAGTCATTCTGCCTACAAAGACTTTTGTTTATGAAATAACTCCTTTTTAGGGTTCCTTAGTCAACTAGGAACCCTTATAGTTTCGCCATGTCTGTCTGTCCGTCTGTCCGTCCTCGCTTAATCTCTGTGACCGTTAGCACTGAAATTTGGTACCAATATGTGTATCAATCACGCCGACAAAGTGGTAAAATAAAAATTGGAAAAAAATGTTTTATTAGGGTAGCCCCCCTATATGTAAAGCGGGAAGTGATTTTTTTTTAATTTCAACCCTAACGTGCGATATATTGTTGGAAAGGTATTTAAAAATGAATAGGGGTTTACTAAAATCATTTTTTGATAATGTCTATAATTTCGGAAATAATCGCTCCAAAAGTAGAAAACAATGTGTCCCCCCCCCCCTCTAACTTTTGAACCATAAGTTTAGAAAATATGAAAAAATCTGAAAAGTTGAACTTTATAAGGACTTTCTAGGAAAATCATTTTGAACAACGGTTTTTGTACAAAAAAGACAAAGTTGTACAAAATAATTTCTGGACTAAGTTTGTAGTATAATCGTATATGCAAGCATTTTTTTTAACTTCGTTTACATATTTCATTATCCTGAACGTATCTTTTTTCAAACAAAAAAAGATATTGACGGAAGGGAAACTACGGAACCCTCACTGAGCGTGGCCCGACACGCTCTTGGCCGGTTTTTTAATTTTTTATCTTAAATTTAATATTAAAATTTTCTTTTAAACACATCCAGTACCAGTATATGCTGATATCTTGCATTAGTAGGCAGCAACTAATATTCGGAGGTTTACTTACACTGAATGTTTTAAGGTTATTGACATTATATGCGAACACCATAGGATAAATCGTTTTTTTTTTTGTATTTCTATGGATCTAGTTTTATTTTATTACATTTTACAAATACTTTCAAGGATAGCTTCTATTCCACTTACACTAAACTCCATATTATGTTCCAGATGGTAAAAATAGTATTACCCAGTATTGCATGGGAATAAATGTTTTGAATTTTGTTACACAAACACTTTGATTATTATCTTTATTCAAAGATTTTTTTTGTTTAATCCTGACCTCTTGTTCTTGTTGTGCGTGTGTGGTGGATACTCGGAAACGCATGTTCGTTTATCCACCCCAGACAGGGTGGATAATTGGAATTCATATTCTTTTTTTCTTCCGATTTTCCCTCTCTGCTGTTACTGTGTACTGTCATTTATAAAAACATGATAGAAACTGGCCTAAGATTACTTAGTAGACATTAGCATACTTATAAAAATACATACATACTTGTTTAAAGGTTAAAACTGAAACAATTGTTCAATTACATATCATTCTGTGACATAGCTTATGTCATTTAGGAGATATGATGAAAGATGTTTTACTGCAATTAATTTCCTTTATATTTTATTGAAGTATTTAAATAAAATAAATATATTGTTAATTGGTATTGGACATAGTACAGAACTTAAATTTATGACATTAAACTTAAAATTTTAATGTCATATTGAGAGAAAAATTTATACAAGATATACAATTACGTAATTGTCTACTCAATAATGAAATTAGTGTTGGTCCTAAACATATTGCAGAATCTGTAAATTTCTTAAGTTGTTTAAGTTTGTGGTAGTTAAAAATTAATCAATAATATGTTAAAGTATGAATATATTTTCTTTTGCAATGTACTTGGTGTGGAAAGGCAGAACAACAACCAAAAAGTTCATTCCGATTATCCACCCTGTCTAGCGTGGATAAATAGTTTAACCTGTTATATATACATATATGTATAGTTTCTAAAGAAATATCACTTACAACTTTAGCATGAGCAAACTTAGATAGAGACTGGACATTTGACCCTGCTGTGATCCAGGTGGTCCTTTGAGCTTCCGGCATACGACACCACTGTTGATACAGCTTCCAGCTATTGTCTGTGTTTGATGTTGATCCATCACGTGCTGAGGAGCATTTCCATAGTAGGAATGCCCAAACTTGAGCTTTGCTTTCATTCTAAAATATTCAATTATATTGAAATTGAGTTAGAATATACAGCACAACTAAAACACCACAATATTAAGTTTTCAAGGAATAAACTTTTAATTAGATAATATAATAGTATCATACTACATGAATTAAATAAACATACTTTATCATCATTATCATTACAGCCCTTCACAAGTCCACTGCTGAACATAGGCCTCCCAAGGAATACCACAAAGCATGTTGCTGAGATACCTAAATCTATCTACTTCCAGCATGTCTTCCCAGGTGTCACTATCCAGTGAGGAGCCGCCATAAACTTTGCCTACTGGTATGCGGTTGCCACTTGAGAACCTTCCCCCATTGGTTGTACATTCTTTGAGCTGCATGGCCGACCCATTTCTACTTCAAACACATCACAACATACTATATGAGATTGGTAAAATATTAGGCTGTCATGTTACCGGTATTTGAAATTGAAGGTTAAAGAGATACATCATATTTTAACATTGAGCTATTATGTACTACGTACTAGAGGCGACACTGCATTTAGTTACGCTGTACCATTCAATTGCAGCAGTAACGCCGCACTTTACTCAGTTCCTTGCTAGGCACTAGTGAGTTGACATGTGTTGATTAATTATATTTTTTTAAAAAATATCTTTATACATATATGTTAATAAGATACTTAATCAATAAAAAAAGTAATATAGATTAATAATAAAACAAATTGTTCCTAAGATGCCATCTCTTGTGATGGAATATATAGATAATGAAAATAATTTGTTCAGATGGGACATTTCTGTGGGTACTTAAGTATAGGCGAATATATTATATGGTAGGTAGGTGAATATATTATAATATTATTATGCACAATTTTGTTTTTTTTTTTGTAAAAACATAAATAAGTTATCATAATTGTGCAAATTTTTTTATACGAGGGTGGATTGAAAAGTACTCGGCTTAACACAAATCCATTCAATTCTAAAAATCAAATCTACCCACATTATTTAGTTCAGTTCAGACTAGTTCATTGTGTGAAGTTCGAAACGTGTGCGATAATTAGTTGTGATTTTATAAATTTATTAACAAAGTAATCGGACATAATTTCCACGAATGGCGCAAATCGAGCAGCGTGCCGTCATTAAGTACCTCCATAAGAAGGGGCTATCATCAAAAGCCATCCATGATGACATGGTCAGTACATTAGGCGATTGTGCTCTGTCATATTCATCCGTCAAAAAATGGATAGCAGAATTTAAGCATGGTAGAGAGAGTGTAAAAGATGAACCCCGCTCTGGAAGGCCTTCGACGTCAACTACTGACAAAAATATTAAAAAAGTACTTGATTTAATAATGGGAGACGGCAGATTAAAAATTAGAGAGATAGCCGAGATTATAGGCATTTCTTATGAACAAACTCAAAACATCATTGTCAACGAGTTGGGTTTTCACAAGGTGTCTGCGAGGTGGGTTCCGCGACTGCTTTCAGTTGAACAAAAAAGGACGCGATTGACTATTTCACGCGACTGTTTGGAGTTATTTGAAGCCGATGCAGATGATTTTTTGAATCGTTTTGTTACTATGGACGAAACATGGGTTCATTACTGTACACCGGAAACAAAACAACAATCAAAACAGTGGAGAAGACCTGGTTCACCACCCCCTAAAAAGGCTAAGTCAATTTTGTCGGCAAATAAGGTGATGGCTTCAGTATTCTGGGACTCGAAAGGTGTGATTATGATTGATTATCTTGAAAGGGGTCAGACTATAAACTCTGATTACTACTGCCCCTTACTACATTGTTTACGAGAGGAAATAAAAGAAAAATGTCGAGGAATGCTCAGAAGAAAAGTCCTGTTTCATCAAGATAACGCCCGTGTTCACACGTCAGTACAGTCAATGGCTGAAATTCACAACTGTGGCTTTGAACTGTTACTGCATCCGCCGTATTCACCTGATCTGGCACCATCAGACTTCTTTCTGTTCCCTAACCTAAAAAAGCACTTGGGAGGTCAAAGATTTCCGACAAACGACGAGATCAAAGCAGCTGTAGACGCATATTTTGACTCTAAGGAAGAATCATTTTTTTTCAATGGTCTAAATGCTTGGAAGGGGAGGTGGCAAAAGTGTATTGAACTTGATGGTGATTATGTAGAAAAATAAAATTATAACTGATTTAGTATGTGTTTATTTTCTTGGTTAGGCCGAGTACTTTTCAATCCACCCTCGTATTTAAATCTGCTCATTATTCTTTTAATTTATTTTTAGGTTTCACATCAAAGTCAAACAAATTCATTCATTGTTAACTCTCACGTGCCCACCACTTATGAATGACTCTTATTCTAATTTAAGTAAATATATTTGTAATTTAAATGTTATATTATAAGTTTTAGTTAAATATAACTACGTTAAATAAGGAAAACATACATTTAGTACTTTTTTTTTACATTTGACATAGTTACCTTTTAAAATATTCAGATAGAAATATCAAAATGTAATTGTGATATAATATTATGTAATATTATATTAAATAAGCAAATATAGTATACAAAATAAATGACAAAATTTAAAAATTGTACTGGATATAATTTACCTATTTAACAATACAATCTATTATTACCTACTGATCATTCTATTTTTAAATACATGGACAAAGCATTTTATTTAATTACTAGATTAATTCCGATGATATCCCGGACGTCAGTCTAAGCGAGATTAGAATGGCTCTCCAGCACCTTAAAAACGGCAGGGCCCCAGGCGAGGATGGAATTACAGCGGAGCTTCTGAAAGCGGGTGGAACACCGGTACTTGAAGTCCTTCAGAAGCTCTTCAATTCCGTCCTCCATGGTGGCACTACTCCAGAGGCGTGGAGCAGAAGTGCGGTGGTCTTGTTCTTTAAGAAAGGCGACAACGCTCTCTTAAAGAACTACAGACCGATTTCCCTTCTGAGCCGCGTCTACGTGCTGTTTTCGAGAGTCATTACGAATCGTCTCGCACGCAGACTTGACGACTTCCAGCCTCCCGAACAAGCCGGTTTCCGAAAAGGCTTCAGTACCATAGACCACATACATACTCTGCGGCAGATTGTACAGAAGACTGAAGAGTACAATCTGCCACTTTGCCTGGCGTATGTGGACTATGAGAAAGCCTTTGATTCCGTCGAAATTTGGGCGGTGCTACAGTCCCTTCAGCGGTGCCAAGTTGACTGTCGGTATATCGAAGTGCTGAAGTGTTTGTACAGTATGGCTACGATGGCTATCCGAGTACAGAACCAGAGCTCGAAACCTATCCAACTGCAGAGAGGTGTAAGACAGGGTGACGTTATATCCCCGAAACTCTTCACCGCTGCATTGGAAGACGTTTTCAAGCTACTGGACTGGAAAGGATACGGTATTGACATCAATGGCGAGTACATCACTCACCTTCGATTTGCCGACGATATAGTCCTTATGGCAGAATCGCTGGAGGACTTAAGCACTATGCTCAATGACCTCAATAGTGCCTCCCAACGGATAGGTCTTAAGATGAACATGGACAAAACAAAGATCATGTTCAATGTCCATGTCACACCTATGCCGGTAGTTGTTGGGAGCACTATGCTCGAAGTTGTTGACGAATACGTTTACCTGGGACAAATAGTCCGACTAGGTAAGTCCAACTTCGACCGAGAGGTCAATCGACGGATTCAACTCGGCTGGGCAGCGTTCGGGAAATTACGGCATATCTTTTCGTCAGGTATACCTCAATCTCTAAAAACTAGATTGTACAACCAGTGCGTGTTGCCAGTGATGACTTACGGATCTGAGACGTGGTCCTTCACTGCTGGCCGTATGAGGACGCTTAAGGTCGCTCAGCGAGCTATGGAGAGGGCTATGCTCGGAGTTTCTCTGCGTGATAGACTCAGAAATGAGGATATCCGCAGTAAAACCAGAGTGACCGACATAGCCCAACGGATTAGTAAGCTGAAGTGGCAATGGGCCGGCCATATAGCTCGAAGAACCGATAACCGATGGGGAAGAAAGGTTCTCGAGTGGCAGCCTCGTACCGGTAGGCGTAGTGTAGGGCGACCCCCCACTAGATGGAGTGACGACCTGGTAAGACATGCAGGAAGTCGATGGATGTAGGTGGCTCAGGACCGTGCTTTGTGGCATTACTTGGGGGAGGCCTATGTTCAGCAGTGGACTTGTGAAGGGCTGTAATGATGATGATGATGATGACTAGATTAATTGGGTTGGGTTTACAATTAAGTTGCCTGAATTTGAGGATTCTGTCACTGTGGGGTCAAGGGGGGTTATCTGAAGCACCCCCATGCAATGTTTGGTGCCGGAGCAGCATCGAAGTATTTTTTATTATTTTTTAAAAATTTTGGTAAATTAATTAAATATTCTCGTTTTTGACGTTGCATCGGTTTAATGAATCGATATTTCACCTTAGAGAATCAAGATTGAATCTTTTGCTGTTTTTTAACTATAAAATTATTTACAATTAGTTGAATGTACCCCAACTCTTCAAGAATGACAGTTTTTCAATTCAATCATTCAATTTTATCTGTACTTTATTGTGTCTTTTGACATTGTAAATATAAACTCCTAACGCAAATTAAAAAAAGATAGATTTTTGCAAAGTGTCTTTAAGACTTCGATTTTTTTGTGAATCAATTCATCTACTTTCGATTTGAATCTATTTAAAGTGTAAAATTAATCACCAGGCTGGCCATTTTATTGACAGTGACGGACATACTTTAGGTCATTTTGTTGCTTCAGAGTTTCAGAATTTTGGTGAAAAGTGAACTATTTGTGGCGGCGGAATTCTCGACCGGGCTTCCCTTGACTACACCACATTGAGTGGTGTGGGGCTTCCATCCCCCCAACTCTCTCTTCTCATAACGAAACATAACCTTAAAATGAGATTTAATAAAATTTATTAAAAAAAACTAAGCATGTTCGGCAGGGGGGGTAAGGAGTAACTCTACAACTCCCCCACACGACACCCCACCCCCTAATGCAGGCGGTACTTAATTGTAAACCTTCCCCATTTAACTATAACCAACATTAATTAAAACCATAAGTAAAAGGTTCAATTTGCGGTTAAGCCAACCAAATTTAACATTAATCCTTCACTGGTTGAATCTTAGTATGTTTAAATGTGGAACTTACACTGTCCCTCACTGGAGACTTGCCAACACAGTTATTTGGTTCTTTATGCTCTTTAAACTCCTCGAGAAAATGAAATGCTGAATGGCACTGCCCACAAACAAGAACATCAAGAGTTGCCATTTGTTCATGAGCTTCTGTAATACAACATACATTTTGTTTACAAACAAGATTAAAAGCAGACAATACCAATTTTGGACTTGATATTAAAAATTCCTTACCTTTTAATGCAGTTGGATTCTTTGTCAATTCTTCAGGGTTTCCCGCCGTAACTTCTGCAGAAGGCGACTCGCCTTCTTCCATAGTTGTCATTATTTATGATAGCAATAACCTTAAATAATGTTACAGTTACTTACGCAATAAATTATTGGTATTAAATCAACGAAAATCGTCGTAAATATAACCTTGCAAAACTAGACCGGTAACTTCCCGCCAACTCATACTTAATCCTAACAATAAACAATTTTACTTTAAGCCAAAATTGATTTAAAAATGTTAACAAATATCAAAATATACAAATATAATTGTTTCTTTCGTTAACTATGTTGATAACATGCAACATCCAATCAAATAGTTATAATTTAAATCTCTTTGTATAATTTATTGTGACACCAAACTAGATTCATACCGACGCTTAGCGTTGTTTTACATTGCTGCGTTAATGTTATAATAAAATGGAGATACAATATTATTAAATGCAGGAAACAGACATTTTTATTGATGTAGCTCGCTTTGCTCATTACACTTACCAAAACAATGTCAAATTTATAATTTTTTTTATACAAATTATTACACACCGTGAACTAAACGGAAAACGGAACAACGACTGCATCAAGCATCAAATACTTTATGAGAAAAAAAGTCTTTCACCGACAATATTATACTGCCCCCTAGTGTTCGCCGAAAATTCTAGTTTTCTTTGCCATAAAAATATTAAAACGACCAATAGCAAAACAGAATCGTTATATATCCTCCAATCAAAAAAATGGAAGCTACAGCGTGTACTATAACAGACTTACGATCAATGAGTCTGCGAAATTTTTTACCGACATATGCTTACGCCGACACTTTATGCCGACACACAGCACTAATTTCATAATTGCATTAAATACTAAATCAATTGCGAATTTCATATTAAAATTAGCTATTAATGTGAAATTCTCCTAAATAATCTTATTTGTATCTTATCAAAAGTCTTATAAAGCCTTACTCATTGTTAATACTCATCATTATTCATTGACAAAGCATTAAAATTATATTATTAGCATTAAAACACTCAACTAATGAAGATAACTTATTATTATAATAAAATTTTGATTGAATTAATTAATCTCAAGAATAATACTACTAGTTTTTACGGATTTTCATTTTGAAGTCTCAGATAAAGTAAAAAGTTTTTTTACTTCATCTGAGTAGAAATTTTGAAGTATATATGATTTGCTTTCATTTTATTAGCCATATAAAATACTAATACTTCCTGTAATTTTTTGAGTTTTTGGATGTAGGTATATATTTGGATACCACTGAATTTGATTTTTATTTTAAAAAAAATTTCTATAATGTTGAACAGAACTACGCATAAATTTTATTTATTTAAAGTTTGCAGTCTGAGTAGAGTGCAACTCTTCCGCTACGGCGAGGTTGGTCTTTGTACAATTACAAGTTAACGCCTTTATTTCTATGCCCATTCGTGAACAAGATGGAAAGCTTGTGTTGCTAGCCGTGCTTTTAATTCAGCCCTTAATCCAACCCTTAATCAAAAAGTTGGCTATATGTACTTTCCATGCTGTGTTTACCGACCAATAAAAAATAAAGCGTCAGAAGCTTCATCGGAATTATCGGATATGAAATCAAACCCGTAGTCGATATAACCATAATGCCTTTGGCTGCTAGCATTGAGCTATTATGTACTACGTACTAGAGGCGACACTGCATGCAGCTACTCTGTTCTACTCAACTGCGGTGCATACACCGCACTTTAATCAGTCATCAGTCACTCGCTAGGCGCTTGTAGAGTTGTCACGTGTTGTGTTGATTTAAAAAAAAATCTCTTGATAAAATTATGCCGTCGTGTGTACCTAGATATTGCACAAATAATTCAAGAAATGTCAGTAAAAACCAAGGAATTACTTTTCATCGATTAATAAGATACTTAATCAATAAAAAAGTATTAAAGATTAAAATTAGAGAGTTTTACCATAAAATAAAACTTACCTATTATTCTTTAATCAATATCCGGAATCCATCTTGAGTCAAGCACTTGTCTTTCCGCCTAAAGTCAGCACTTCCGGCTACCTTACCTGCATGGAGGGGGCACCCCACCACTGTTTTCGCTTTGTTATTTAAGTAGTGATGAGCACCAGGTCTCGTCATTATTGCACTCAGGATGCACCAGGTAGCCCTTACCGGGATTCCGGATATTGATTAAAAAATAATAGTTATTTTATTATTTTTTAATCAATATCCGGTTATTTTATGGTAAAAATCTCTATTATTTGTTATGTATCAATATCCGGAATCCATCTTGAGTGATGCGTTTGTTTTCACCTGGTGCTAATAACTTATGATAGTTATTAACGCTATAATGTGTAAGGTAAACAATAAAATATTTATTGCAAGAGATACACAGCAACAAACATTATATTATATTACAACACGATTGCATTATTTGATTGTAACTGGCAATCATGACAAATTTTGCTTTTGTTAATTACAATAATTAATCAAACTAATAAAATATTTGCTCTATCAATCAATTAATGGCATCAAAATAATTTGATAACGATACAGAATTATTTGCCGCAATTTCCTTTAGTTCTTTTTAGGGTTCCGTAGTCAACTAGGAACCCTTATAGTTTCGCCATGTCTGTCTGTCCGTCTGTCCGTCCTCGCTTATTCTCTGTGACCGTTAGCACTAGAAAGCTGAAATTTGGTACCAATATGTGTATCAATCACGCCGACAAAATGGTAGAATAAAAATTGGAAAAAAATGTTTTATTAGGGTAGCCCCCCTATATGTAAAGTGGGAAGTGATTTGTTTTTTAATTTCAATCCTAACGTGTGATATATTGTTGGAAAGGTATTTAAAAATGAATAGGGGTTTACTAAAATCATTTTTGATAATGTCAATAATTTCGGAAATAATCGCTCCAAAATTAAAAAACAATGTGTCCCCCCCCCTCTAACTTTTGAACCATAAGTTTAGAAAATATGAAAAAAATCTGAAAAGTAGAACTTTATAAGGACTTTCTAGGAAAATCATTTTGAACTTTGATAAGAAACACCCACCCACTACCGGAAGCAGTTGCAGGAGCGCGGAGCGCTGCTGGAGCGCGAACATAATGGATACCCACCTTTAAACTCATAAGTGGGAACACTTATCGTGACGGGCGGAAAACTATGGAACCCTACACTGAGCGTGGCCCGACACGCTCTTGGCCGGTTTTTCATTATTTATAGTAATTTTGAAATGTGTGCACAGTTTTCCAATTACCCGTCGCAAGGATTTTATCTAGGGAAAAATTTTCTGACCAATTTAAAGAAAATACTGCTGATCTAACTTAACCAGGAGTAGCTTAAATACTCGCTGCTCTCAAAAGAGATTTTAGCCACCCAGCAATTACAGTACGGGATGCTGGCTTAGCGTCACCTCTAGCTGTAATAAATAAATGATTTATAGCCTTTCTGCAATTTTTAGATATCTTTAATAATTGTCTTATCCAGAAAATAATATTCAAATTTTATCAATCAGGATGTTCCTTAAGCCTCCAACCAGACTGTCTATGATTAATGCCGTCCGTTTTGGAACCAAAAGCTGGCCATAAGAGTAAGCTACTTTGTTCGTCTATTAAACTGTTATTGTGAATTTGCAACAACAAAAGTGAGGTCATGAACTCACTGACTAGAAGCCAAAAGTAATAATGTAGCTGTATGCCTAGATACTTCATACAGATTGTTTCAATAAAATTATATTTACTTATATACTGCATAAGAGACTTAGGATTCCAAATTGGTGGCTTTAGTGGTTTGGTACAAGAAATTTGAAGATAAATATTTTTCTTTGAATTGAAGTTACTTAACTTGTGTGTGAATGTTGAAATCACAGATTTATTTACTAAAATTGTTCTGTAAGCAAGACCTATATCATAATGTAAATGTGCTGGATAACGTGCTACTTGTTCTGGGTTAGGATATTTATAATTAACCGAATTAGACTCACCATTTTTTCCATCTATTCCATGCTGGTTTATATGTATTGATCGTAGAGCCTCGCCAACTTGATATTAACAAGTTCTGTTTTTTATCCGTCCATTCTGTTAACATATCTTGCCACCCAAAATCAGCCGTGCTTCCAAGAGAAAGTCTTGAATCTGTGGTGGGTGTATGCCTGTTTTCGTGTCTACTACAGTGTGGAATTCGATAAGGGGAGTGTAGAGCTCGGCGTTGAACATGTGCTTGCCAAAACACCTTGTTCTATATTATATATATATATATATATATATATATATATATATATATATATATATATTCCGCAGGCTTGATTTAAATGGTTTAGGACTTTGGGATAAGATTGGGTGGGAATAACCACGCTAGTTTGTAGTACTACTGGTGACAAAATGCGTCGTGATGTTGTGCTTGCTTGTCCTGAATATTCACAGAAACATACTTCAGGGTCACGTGCAGCAGTACTTGATGCAAATAGGTCTATCTCCAGTGTGCCACACATACGAAATATTTTAGATGTCGCCGCTATTGTGAGGTGCCACACGGGGCAAGCCTTTTGGCGTGATAAAGCGTCCATTTCGACATTGAATCTGCCTGGAAATTTGTCTAGGAGTGCAAGGAGTTGTCGATTTTGCTCGAGAAGCTTTTTGGACTTCCTTCCGCCTTCGTTGTTTATATAAGACACCACTGTTCGATTATCTGTCTGAAGAAGCACTTGTGAGTTCTGTAGCAGATTTCGTTCGTGTGATATCGCTGCATGAACTGCAAACATTTCTTTTCTGTTTGCGTGACAGGTTTGTTGCCGGTTCATCCAGGTTCCCCCGGTACTTATATCGCCAAGTTGAGTGCCCCAGCCGATATCTGAAGCATCGGTTGTTAGAAGGCGAGTTACTGCTGCATTCATGTGTATCGGTACAGGTTGACCTACAGCTTGTAGCCACCACTCCATCTCGGATTGAACTGGTAGTGGACTACTCACTTGGCGGTAAGGGTGGTCCTTTGACAACTGTCGACTGAAGTATTGCAGTGTTCTACAGTGAAGCCGACCTCTCCGGGTTACGTAAGTGGCAAAATTGTGT